AATTATTTACATATTCCAATAACATAACCTCATTACTGATCTGAGGCTGGAAATCTGTTGGGTTGGTACTTCCGAACTTCACGAAGAAATTGACGAAAATTAGAACATGCTCTAATTCGTCAAGAACTTGATGAATAAATTGATGAAGTTATTTGACAGCTGATTTGGTGCATTACACTTGATTAAGCGACTTCATCAATTAATTGATCAATAAATTGTCAATGTAAAACAGCTTTAAGAAACTGTTTCTCTCGTTTTGAGAGTGACTAAAAGAAAATTATCTTTTCAGATGCCAAAGAAGGTTCGAGGAGATTACAAACAACCACCTATACAACAACTTCCGAAGGCCTAGAGTTGGAAGGCATAGATGTCGCAGAAATGTTACGCAGAGGAAACGGCAAATTCTTCCTCGACTTATAATGAACAGATTTATCAATAAAAGTTACATAAGTAAAGTTTATAGGTAGTCTTTTTATTATTCCCTTAACTTTGGAATTTCCATATTTTTCAATAGAATCTACACGACACCTTGCAAGTTTTACGTACAGGAGCAGGAAGGGGGTGATCCAATATTGCTATTATTTGAAGCACAAATAAATGAAAGTGTTGGGATATAAAAATATATTGTAAAAATAATTTTCATACAGGGTGGGCCATTAGCGTGAGAAAATAAAATAACTCCCTTATTATTCATAATACAGAAAAGTTTATACAAAATTTGTACAGAATTAAAAAACCTAAAGAACAAAATTAATTTGAAACATACAGGGCGATTAGTAAAAACGGGACACGCCAAATATTACATTTTTTAAATGGAACACCCTGTATATTTTTAAACAAATGTATTTCTGAGAAAATTCTATATAAACAGTTTAACATTTTAGACCGATATGTGAATAAAATGGAGCAATAAAATACAGGGTGTTCCATTTGAAAAATTTTAGAAAATCAAGTTTAAACTTTCTAAAAATGACCGTATTATAAAAAATGCCCTATATAAAATATCGATATTAGCTAATATAGGAGTCTTTGTCTAACATTTATATATAACTATAACTATGTCTAATTATTTTGTTCCAAGTGTTAGTAGCTGAAAGTTACAACTTCTTCGTGGACATGTTTGTTCCAAAATTCGAAGAATTTTCTACATAACTTGGCAACCCCGCACTAAAGTGATAAACTGTTTATATTGCCATATATAGAATTTTCTCAGAAATCCATATGTTCTATTTAAAAAATGTAATCTTTGGCATGTTCCGTTTTTACTAATCGCCCTGTATGCTTCTAATTAATTTTGTATTTTAGGTTCCTTGATTCTGTACAACTTTTACATAAACTTTTTTCTGTATTATGAGTAACAAGGGAGTTATTTTACTTTCTCACACTAATGGCCCACCCTGTATATTTCAGATTTCAATAAGAGGTGAGGTATGAGTTCGTGACGATCAAAAAGTTATAGTAATTTTAAAATAGGTTACGGCGTTCCTAAATTATTCGA